GAATTTCAATAACATGTTAATTTTAAAAATTCTTCGATGATCATACGCTAATCAAATCTACATATTACTTATTTCATCTCAAAACTTATTTCAAGAACTACATTATGGACATAAACTAATTTTAAAAATTCTCCGACGAGTGTATGCTAATCGAATCTACACATTGCTTATATCATTTCGAAGTTTAATTCAAGAACTACATTATGGACATATCGAATAGTCTAAACAAATATCGAAAATAGTTAAAATATGTATTAAACCCGAGTTTTAAAAAAAAGACGTCTAACTCTCTTTTTTTTAAAACAAATTCCATTATTTCATTAACATTTATTATTTTTGCGATACAAATTTCTCAATATAATTTTCATCATTTTATTAAGAAATTTTATATGGAATATAACATTGAAAAATTTCGAAATCTTACATTCGAAAAAGTTATATCCCATGTAAATTTTTGAATGCAAAATTACACGGGGTATAATTTTTTTGGACGTAAATTTTCAATTGTAAAATTTCTCCCAATTTCTTTGCAAATTCGATTGTGCCCCCCTAATTTTAAAGCTCTGCATCCGCCCCTGTATATAAGAATAACTCCACATTTTTCATTGTCATTTTTATGTTAATTTTAGTTGTTTACATTTTAGTCCATCTTTGTCATTCATAGTTTGCTTTCATTTTTATCCATTGCATGTACAATATGATATTATATTAATGGAATATCAACACAAGGAAATGACAAGGTTCAAAGAAAAGATATCGAAAAATATGAGAAATGGACGTGGGAAGAAAGCAATCAATTGTTAAAACTCATGGTTGATGCTTCCATTCATCGCGGGCGTGATAGTAATGGCATGTTGAGCAAGATAACTATAGAAAAACATATACTTTCACTTCTTAACCAAGAGCTTGAGATTGAAAAAACTTACGCCCAATATAAAAGTTTAAAAAACAATAACAAGTATTCTAAGCTTATGCGACATAACTTTGGGTTTGGATGGGATCATGTGACGAAAAAATTCACTGCCTGTGATGAAGTATGTGACGATTACTTTATGATGAGCTTCTCTTATTAATTGATTAAAAATATATATAATTTAAGTTATTGGTTAGTTATGTGTATGTTTCATACATTAGCACTTAAAATTATTTTTTTCTTTAATAGTCTCATCCCGAAGATAAAAAGTATCGCACGAACACTTTTGCGAACTATGAAGATTTGAGAATTACAGTTGGAAGTGGAACAGCTGTTGAGACACACTCAATTGCACTAGGAGATGATATTGTTGCAAGAAAATTTTATACAGAAGAAAGAAGAGTTAGTAACGATTTAACTGGTGACTTCATGTATGATCCTGATACTGAAGCATTTATACAAACTAATAAACAAGATCCTATGAGTCCAGAGGTTCCCCCATCAAATCGAAAACGAAGTAGAAAAGAGCTTGAACCAAATTCTAGTTCATTTGATCCCAAAAGTACTCAATCAGATGTTATAGACAAACTTGCTTGTACAGTTGACAAGATCACTCGAGCTATTGAATCAATTGACACTAACAACATAATTGTTGGGGCATTATCAAGGAGATCTCAAATTTGGATGATGATGATCATTTCAAGGTCCTTGATTTGCTCAATACTAACACAAAGAAGTTTGAGTTCTTGAGCATGACACGAGAAGAACGTTCTAATGGATAATGTTTAATTAAAATATGGCATTTTTTGGACAAGATCAGTAGTAAATTTTAATGTTTTGGATTGTTAATTTGCTATTATGGATTTTGTAATGTTGATTATAGTATTGAATTCTACATTTTTGGAGTTATTTATTGATTGTGTTTTTGTACTATATTAAATTTGTGATACTTGATTCGTTTATACATAAAATTATCATTTTCTTTGTGCATGTCTTTAATTTTTGTTCATTCTATTTTTTATCATTCTCTTATGAAGATCATGAAATAGAGATGTATGAGATTGAATAAAATGAGAATGAGGAAGCATTATATGAAACTATTAGGTATTCATGGATGGCAATTCAAGCAATTCTCTACGTGATAAATGATTATATAAATAATATGTGTTGTGAACGTATTAAGCGTTCACTAACTAGGTGACCAAAAACTAGATATGGATATGACTATATACATAAAATATTAAATGAGGATTCAAAAAACTTTCGACAAGTTTATAGAATGTATCCGGATATATTTCTAAAATTGAGCAATATTATAAGAGAAAAAAAGAAATTTCACTACCATATACGAGGCTTCTAACTTGTAGTGTTATCTAACACATACGTACGCGAGAAATATTAATATGGACTTTTAATAAAAGTAAGAAATCTCTCATACACATTTTTTATTACAAAAATCGCTAACTTTTGTGTCAAAGTACATTAATGTTAGAGATCTATAACTTATCAACATTACACACATTCTCCAAAAAAAAATAATAATGAATAAAAATGAAGAGAATTCTACTTAGTTTTTGCCCCACCCCAATAAAGAAAAATTCCTTCCCCACTACAGACGACTAGGTAATTCTCTCTATTTTTTTAAAAGAATAATCCCCCGTTTGATTCCATTTACTTTAACTTAATTTATTTCAACAACACAATAAAATATTTTATACGTAAACTCAAATTTTTTTCCTATTTAATTTTTAACCACGTATTCTCTAAAAAATACTGTTCAAAACATAATTTTTTTTAAAATTAAAGGCTACCGAATATTTAAAGAGGCTTGATAACTCTATGAAATGTTTATGCCTCAGTGTAGCGGTACATTTGACATGCATTATTAGATGATACTAAATAATATAATAGACACACCCTCGAAATTCACCTAGTTCTACTACACAAGACTTATACATGCACAGAGTCATTATTTTTCCATAGGACCACTTGAAAACCCTCTTGCAACTTTAAAGGGATAGCCCAACTTGGCACTGTGCATGCCATTGTTTGAAATTTTCTTGGATCTTGTGACATGTTGATATATACTGATACAGTCTCCATCAACCCTCTTTAGTCTTTATCTTCTTTCTTTTTCATTGCAGAGAATTATAGATTCCAAAACCCTTTTCTTGCTGATGCCTTCTTCTTCCATTTT